CGAATCCAGCTTTAGTTTCGCCAAACCTGGCACAGAGACAGCTGGAGCTACCGCTCTGTATGACGGGCTGTTTCCATCTGCACGCTCTGCGTTTATCTCACGTTAACTCTCTGCCTAGCTTATCTGCAGCAGAATTTAACAAATAAATCCCATCCTTTCATTTCTCTTGGTTGCACTTTGGTGTCCTCAAGGGGTGCAATCTTGAATAACACTGACTGCTGCCTGCAGCTTCCCCACTCCGCTCAGCTCAGCTGCACACCAGCGTCAGGGCAGCTCGGGACCTCGCAGGACGCAGCTCCCAAATGGGTGTAAGTGCAAAGGGCCTTTTGCCCAGTCCAGGAGGACCCTGGCACAGGTCTGACTGCTCAGGAAACGTTCAGAGCAGGAGTTTGTTTTCAGCCAAGGTCTCTGAGCTTTGTCAGAGGACAAAACTGGATATAGTTGGCACCTCAGTGTTTCACAACTGGGTTTGTTTAGCCTCTGCAGGGCAGCCCTGTACAGAAACACCTGAGCTTGGCCTGAACTGGCTGCTGGGCAAATTTGATTGCAATCCAAAGAGCAGGTGCTGAGCGGAGGAGCAGCGTGTGTGTGTGGAGCAGTGGGCTGTGGCACTGCGCTGTGGATGTGCACTCACCTGGCACAGCTTTCTGTTGCTGCTGTGCGCCATGCATCATTCGAAGAGGAGATTGTACCCAAGTTTGTTCAAAGCGAGGTGTGTATGTCCGGCCGAATATCCTTCTTCCCGTGTTTGGCCAATCTTGCATCTTAGTCACACCTTTTCCCGGTGATGGACCATGTTTCTCAGGGGTTCTGATTCAGGATGGCTTCCTGACAAATGCTCAGGAATTTTGGTATCAGCGAATGCTTGGTGAATTTGCTGTTGGCTGCGTACCAGGCAGTGACTGAGTAACACCAGTGCTGAGTCCACAGGTACAGCCAGCACGGGAGACTCATCCGAGTCCTGTACCCACCCTCTCCCTCAGGTCAGAAGTCCTCCTGCTTCTGCCCATCATCACCAGTGGAGTTTGTATTTCCTTTGGTGCACCCAATTCTCAGCTTGTAAGGCCCATCTGAGCACACGCTAAAGGAAGACTAATAATTAGGTGACACTTCAGCAGACACCACTTCCGTAGCGTTGCATGATCTTCTGGCTATGTCAGATGTAAAGACACTGGTCAGGCTCCTGGCTGAATCTTTGAACAGCACAGAAGGGATGTTGGCATGCCTTGGTTTTTGGCTTGCATTCTTGCTCTTCCAGGATCTGGTATGATCATTTTTTCATTCATAAAAAACAAGAGAAGCGCAACAGACACGCAGCTAAATTTAGATTTATTCATGTACGATGTCTTTTTACACATGTACTTTTTAGCTACAGTTTTAGGGAGAAACCTGAGCTACACTGAGGTCATAAAGAGTTCTGTTATCCAGACATATCCCCGCCTCCTCCCTTCTGACTCAATGCATCGTTTTATGGGAAATACTATACTGCGCTATGTAAGTACTCTTAGATAGTTTTAATATTTCCTCTGCTGAGGTCTCGGACAAAAGGCTTGTAATATGAAAGACAAGGGGACATCCAAAAATACTTGTGTGTGCCTCTGCAGCCAAGCTCTCTGCAAAGGGGTTTTGACTCCGCTTTTGAGGAAGGCAAGGGCTTGAGTCACCCAGAGGATGCTTGATTGTGGTTTTCAACCAGATCTCCATGTCACGGCTCCTTAGGTGCCAACTGGGGTTGTGCTGAAGGGACATCAACTTGGATTGGTAGAATCGGATGTGAAAAACACATCTCCAGCCATTGCCCCCTCCTCTCCTTGGACCGTGGCTTAGTGAGCAGTGTCTCCTTCCTCTTTCTCTTCTGCCAGAAATCTCTTACCCTTCTTCCAGGGGCAGAAGCAAAGAAGCTGTTTTTAACCTCAGACATGCTCCTGGTGCCAGGCAGGGCCACTCTGCAAGCCCAGCAGCTTCATGTAAAAAGATTTCAAAGCCAATATAGCCAAAGCAAAACTGGCACTTTATAAGGATAACAATTAAGATAGTATTTAGAAATATTAAATAGTCAAATTAAATAGTCAAGGCTCTTTGGGCTAATACTACATCATATGCTCTGTATATACAGTCAACAGGACTGCAGGGCTGGTTATTCACATGAGCAAAGGCAGGTTCATGTGTTCTTGCGTTCCCTCTACAAACACGCTTTTAGTCCTTTCCACTAAAATATAGAAAAAAAAATTCTTTGTAAGAGGAAAAAGTCAATCATAAGAATAGGTTAAAAAAGAAGCATCAGAACTGAGGAAGAACTGGCTCTGAATCACATAATTGTCTCTGAAGACTAACGCTGTTTTTCAGTCTCTAACACCTTTAGTGCTGTCACAGACTTACAGATTGCTTCTGTCATTGACAGTAATGCAATCTTTTCTAAATATATGATGGAAATTAATTTCACCCAAATAAATATTAATGTACAAATTATATGCATGTACAAGATACGGAGCTCTGTTGGGATGATCTGGTGACAGGAGAGCTGGACCCTTTTATTACAGTTTACGATATTAGCAGTTGCTAAAAGCTTCATTGGAATTGCACCCTTACGTTAGACATTTATTTCCCTATTTTCTACTTTATGGATTCTGATATGGTGAGTCATGTGCCAAACCCTTCCCTTTTCAGTCGCATTTCTCTAGATCTCTGTTCAGCGAATGGACTTGTGATGGTGGAGTGAATCTGGAAAGCAAGAGGCAGCTTGTTCTCGGTGTGTTGTATGTTCTGATTCAGTTTCTGACTGTCTAATATTGAAAAGATGTTATTTTTGGCTAAGGTAATCGTTAGGATGATCAGTAATGATCGTGGTCGCTCTGAACTGGTGTTAATACTGGTTTGTGTGGGGGAAAGAAAGTAAAGGAGATGTTCCCAGCGAGCTGGAGAAATGATCTTCTCTGGCTTGCTTTCAGCTCTGCCCATGCCTCAGTTGTCGAGTCCGTCCTTGCTCCAAGTGTGCGGTGACCCCACGGACCGCAGCGGGGCCTTGGGCCGCTCCGTGGCGGGGCCCAGGCCGCCGGTGCCAACACGGAGCCCGGCCATGCCTCCCCTGGGCTGTCACACCCTGCTCGCACGCGCCGGTCACGTTCCCGTACAGACGTCATCTTCTCACTTCCCGTTTAAACGTAATTTTCCTTCTCCTTATGAGCCCACCAGCCGCCCAAGGCTTCCGAGAAGGTGGTGGGTGAGGGAGATGCCCCAACTCACGCTGCCCAGCGGCAGCGCGGGCGGTGCCGGAGCCGCAGGAACAGCGAGCCCGCAGGGAAGGCTGTCAGAGCCGGGCTGGCAGTTTTTAGAAAGCAAGCGGGATTTACAAGCGGTGTTTAATTTCTCCGCGGAACCCGCTTTTAACCGCAGAACACCCCGCTTCCAGGCCGGGCCGGGCCCGACGGTCGCGCCTCAGCAGCCTGAGGGGATCCCGAGCGGGAAGGGGCGGGAGAGGGGAGGCGGGCGGTGCGGCGCTACTCGCGGCACTACGGCAGGAGGGGCGGGGCTGG